ATCATACGCCCTTAGGAACAAAGACTGTCCTGGTAACCTTACAGCTAATTCTCCTTCTTAACAATTGGACAGTTTATGAGCCTGAAATATGGGACCAAACTGATGTCAAGGTGTGGGACTCTGCAACTAAAAATGACAAGGTTGCAGTGGGATTGCTCGGCACCTGGACAGCAATCTCTGAGGCCTTAAAGAACCATGTGGAGCCACAATCACAAACGTGTGGCTTGCCAGATAGTGAGGGAGCTGCGGGCTCCTTTACTGATCCAACTGCTACGTTTCCATCGGCCCCTCTGCTGCTACAGCCATCGAAGGCTTTTGCTCTTACGCCCCCCGGGTGACCTGGGGGCCTTTTGACCCAGGCCTATTGGCCTTGAAAAGTAGGTGGATATGCTTTTCTTCGATCTGGGAAGAATGGGATACATAAGGCCTGAAGACCCAGTTCCTTGACAACCTAAAGCGAGACATATTGTTCAAAAGGAATGGAAAATGGAGACTTGTTAGTAATCAAGAAAAGGAATGGAAAATGGAGACTGTTAAGTCATGGAACTTAAAGGATTGTTTGTTACCTTTTGCGATCGTGAATATGTATAGGCGTACTCGATTTTAGTAAGTTATGGAACTTAGAGGATTGTTTGTTACCTTTTGCGATCGTGAATATGTATAGGCGTACTCGATTTTAGTAAGTTATGGAACTTAGAGGATTGTTTGTTACCTTTCCTGATTGTACGTATGTATAGGCATACTTATGTTTAGTATGTAAAGCAATGTTCTGTATATTTAGAATGTTTGATATTTGTGTGTGCGTGTTGGTGGAGTGTAGACACCCCACACAGCCAGCGCTGTTTACTTGCCTTTTATACCTTTTAGAAATATTTGTTTTATAAATATTACAAAATTCAGATTGAGTTGAGACCTCATTTATAACACTTGCCCAGGACTGCTCATGCCACCCCTCATTCCTGGAACAGAGAAAATCTGTGATGTGTCAACCTCTCCTGCCTGTTAGAGCTGAAAAAAAAAAAAAAAAAAAAAAAAAAAGAAAAAAAAAAAAAGCTAAATTTCCTCCAATTGTACCTGTACTATCTGCCTTTCCTGGTGAAAATATTCACATTTTCTGTCTGTATAGTGAAATATATATGTATAGCCCCAGCTGTAACTACAGCTATATGTGCAAGTAAAGGTAAATGTATATACAGAGTTAGATGTGTACACATGGATAACTGGGAGAGAGACAGGCAAGTGTCTGGGATTCGAGAATTTTACATCACCTGAACTATCAGGAAACCAACCCAGAAGTGCTGGGAGCTGAGGAGAGGGGACATGTGGAGGAAGGTCCCAGTGACACGGCTGGGAGGTGGGTTGTGATGCCATTCCTACTGCAGTGACCTGACTGCCCGGTGGCAGGCAGGCAGACATGGCGATGTCATTGAGTGCATCACAAACCCCACGGGACACAAGGGGCAGCTCAGGCAGCTCTTCACCCTGGTGTAGTGGGTTTATGTGGCAAGGTTTTGGTAGCAGGGGGCCATAGGGGTGGTTTCTGTGAGAAGGATCTGGAAGCTGCCCCATGTTTGGTAAGGGCCCCACTGCTGACCAGAGCCGAGCCAATAAGTGATGTTGTTTTGCACATCTGTGAGAACATATATAAGACAGGGAAAAAAAAAACGCTGCGCCACACAGCAGCTGGGAGAGTGAGAGAAGTGAAGAACGGCCTTGCAGGGGCCAAGGTCAGTGCAGAAGGACGGGGAGAGGTGCTCCAGGCACCAGAGCAGAAGTCCCCTGTGGCCTGTGGTGAGGACCATGGTGAAGCAGGATGTCCCCCTGCAGCCCATGGAGTACCACGGTGGAGCAGGGTTTCACGCTGCAGCCCGTGGAGGAGACCACAGTGGAGTAGGGGGCCCTGCACCGACAGAGGCTGCTGCCTTTGGAAGACCCCTGCCAGAGCAGATTCTGGGCCGGACCTGTAGCCCGTGGAGAGGAGACCACGCAGGAGCAGGTGACCCGGCAGGAGCTGCTGCCCGTGGGGGAGCCAGGTTGGAGCAGTTTTCTCCTGAGGGATGGACCCTGTGGTACGGACCCATATCTGGAGCAGTTGTGGAAGAGCTGCTGCCTGTGGGAAGCCCACACTGGATCAGTTCATCAAGGACTGTATCCCGTGGGTGGGACCCCACAGCACAGGGGACGAGAGTGACCAAGAAGGAGCGGCAGAGAAGAAGTGCTGTAGACTGACCATAACCCCCATTCCCCCGTTCCCCTGTGCCACTCGGGGAGAGGAGGTGGAAGAGGGTGGATGGGGGGAAAGGTGCTTTTGGTTTCTTTTCTTTATTTCTCACTTCTCTAGCTTGTTAGTAATAAGCAATAAGTCTTAAATAAATTTTACTATCTCCCTATGCCGAGTCTGTTTTTCCTGTTACAATAATTACTGCATGATCTTCTTGTCCTTATCTCAACCTTAGAGCCCTTTTCATCGTATTTTCTCCCCATTCCTCTTTGAGGAGGGGGAGTGAGAGAGCGGCTGTGGTGGAGCTCATCTGCGCACTCGAGCGGAACCATGACAAAGGGTTGCTCTTTCTGTGATCATAGCTTCACTCCAGTCCTTCAAGTATACATGAGCTGAGAAGCCTTGTCCAGTGGTGACTTTTGAGGTAAGGACCAACATACAGCTTGGGGGAAACTGTCTCAAGGATGTATGCTGGCCATAGGAACTGAAGGACAGAAGCAAACAGACGTCACTGCACAGGGTGGGAAGTAGACCCAGCTGGACTGCTGCCAAACACTCTCACTGGGTTCCATGGTTGTAGCAGGTGCTCGGAAAGACTAGGGAACATTTCAAGGACACTAGAGGTTTCAAGCTGTCTTTCTAGATCCACCCAATGGTAATACCTCAGAGATGACAGCAATTCCTCTCCATACTCCCCATCTTGTGTGTGATGGTGTCCTGGTTTCAGTTAGGACAGAATTAATTTTCTTCCTAGTAGCTGGTAGAATGCTATATTTTGGCTTAGGATGAGAAGAGTGCTGATAACACCCCGATGCTTTAATTGTTGCAGAGCAGTGCTTATACTAAGCCAAGGACATCTCAGCCTTTTGCTCTGTCCTGCCAACGGGCAGGCTGGGGGTGCAGTAAGAGCTGGGAGGGGACAGACCCAGGACAGGTGACCCAAACTAGCCAAAGGGGTATTCCATCCCATCTGACGTCATGCTAAACAATATATAGGGGTAGCTAGCTGGGGGAGGGGAGCCGGACTGCTCAGGGTTAGGCTGGGCATCAGTCAGCAGGTGGTGCGCAATTGCATTGTGCATCACTTGTTTGTACACATTAGTAGTAGTAGTACTACTATCATCGTTATTATTATTGATATTATTATTATTTTCCTGTCTTATTAAACTGTCTTTATCTCAACTCATGGGCTTTACTTTCCCGTTTCTCTCCCCCATCCCAGAGAGAGAGGGGGGAGGGTGAGCAAACGGCTGTGTGGTGTTTAGCTGCCGGCCGGGTTAAACCACGACAGATGGTCCCCCACTGAATACCCCAGGCATTGCAGTGTCCTTGTGTGCACGTGGACATCTATATTTGGCATTCTCCCTATGGTGACTTCGTCTTGGGTGAAGTGATCTCTCACTTTGTGGGGCTCCAGTCACTGACCACCCCAGACACATGATACTCAGGGAGAACACCTAGGCTCTTCAGGCAGCTCCCCATTAATTTCCTGGAGGATGTCCTCTGCCCTGACACTTGTGGGACAGTCATGGCTATATACCTCAGTGACTGTTAACCATTTCTGCTGTCATCAGACACCAACAGGTTACTCCTAAATCCTACCCTTGGTCTCTCACAACTCACAAAATGAGCTTTTTCTTTCCCTTATCCATAGAGCAACAGGCTTTTCAGGGAGCAGGTGCTCAGCCCTGGTCTTGGCACCAGCTTTGAAAGAAGAACCACGTCTTCAAGAAGTGGGAGATACAATTTTATTAGGCAGATCCTATCACAGAGTTTGTTCTGGCCTGCTGTTATACACATATTATAAAGCCTCAGTAGTAAACAGAACGGTTTCATTCCTCAGTAGATAGCCGATGAATAAAGAAACATATTGCTAATAAATTAGTAAATGCAAATGATACTGAGGATAACAATTTCAATAATGAGCAGGCCTGCAAGGGAAGTCATTTGTGTAGATACAGGGGAAATTTATCACCAATCAGAAATATCCATGAAAACACTTTCCGAACAGCACTCTTAAGCTCCTTGTTTCTCATGCTGTAGATGAGGGGGTTCAATGCTGGTGGCACAACAGAGTACAGAACTGCCACCACCAGGTCCAGAGACAGTGAGATAGAGGGGGACTTCAGGTAGGCAAATATGGTCATGCTGAGAAACAGGGAGACCACTGCCAGGTGAGGGAGACACGTGGAAAAGGCTTTGTACTGTCCCTGCTCAGAGGGCATCCTCAGTACAGCCCTGAAAATCTGCACATAGGACAGCACAATGAAAACAAAACACCCAGACGCTAAACAGAATCCAACCATAATAATCCAAACTTTCCTGAGGTAGGAGTTTGAGCAGGAGAGCTTGATGATCTCGGGGATTTCACAGAAGAACTGGTCCACAGCATTGCCTTGGCAAAGTGTCAGAGAAAACACATTAGCAGTGTGCAGCGCAGCATGGAGAAATCCACTGCCCCAGGCAGCTGCTGCCATCTGGGCACAAGCTCTGCTGCCCAGGAGGGTCTCGTAGTGCAGGGGCTTGCAGATGGCAACATAGCGGTCATAGGACATGACAGTGAGAAGATAATATTCTGCTGAAAAGAAAAAGAAGAAGAAAAAGACCTGTGCAGCACATCCTGAGTAGGAAATGGCCCTGGTATCCCAGAGCGAATTTGCCATGGCTTTGGGGACAGTGGTGGAGATGCAGCCCAGGTCGAGGAGGGCAAGGTTGAGGAGGAAGAAGTACATGGGGGTGTGAAGACGGTGGTCACAGGCTACGGCGGTGAGGATGAGGCCGTTGCCCAGGAGGGCAGCCAGGTAGATGCCCAGGAAGAGCGCGAAGTGCAGGAGCTGCAGCTCCCGTGTGTCTGCAAATGGCAGGAGGAGGAACTCAGTGCTGGAGCTGCTGTTGGACATTTGACTCTTCTGGGCCTGGGGACCAGTCTGAGGAGGAAAATAAAGCAAAATGTTAGGCTAGACCATGTGAGCAAAATGTACTTTAATTCTTGTTACACCTCAAAACTGCTGCTACCCTTTCAGGAAAATCTATATCGCAGATGCCTTGCTGGTTCTAGTTGGTGCTGCCAGAGGGTGCTGCTGGGAGCAGGGGACTCTGGAAGTCCTTGGCATTACTGCTGCACTCCAGGTGAAATCTTGTGGGTCCTGTGAGGCAATGACTCTGTCCTTGAGATCAGAGTGAGCGAAGTAATCTGGGTATGGAGAGCTGTATGAGGAGGAAAAAACAGGAAAACATTAGGACAGAACACTGTGATCAAACCCACTCCATTTCTTGTACAAACCTCCCAGACTGCCTCTCCCCTTTCAGGAACACCTTTGCAGGTCCCTTTCATGAGCTGTGGTCGGTGCTGGTTGATGGCGCCACTGGGATGAGAAGGGCTCTCGAGGAGGCAGTCCTGCCCTCCACAGTTAGGTAAATGAGAACATGGGCTGTTCTTGGATTAAATACAGATGAGATATCAAACTATTTTCTCTGTTCTTGTGAAAACCCACCATCCAGACTCCAGTGTGTTTTTTAAAGTTTCTGCACCTCATCTAAGAGGTTCCTTTTAGGTATATATCATTGGTGTTTGTCCTGCCCACCCATGGAAATCTTGGAGGTCCCAAAAGGCAAAGGTCACACTCAGGTGTTCCCCTGAATAGAGCCTTAATGCTGCTGAGAGCACAGGAATCCATTTTCAAAGAGCAGACCTCTTAACCCCTCACCCATATCATCATATCTGAGGAGGATCTTAGCTCTCTGCCTTTCACCACGGACACAGAAGGGTCATAGCAGCTGCCCATATACAACCATTCAGCAACATTTCTACAGCCTTAGGACTGACATGTCTTCTCCATGGGGCTGCTAGATAACACAGGGTTGCTAGGGCAGAGCTGAGCCTTCTGCAAGGATATATGCAGCCCAGCAGAAGCCCCATGTAAAGAGTCAAATTTCCTTAGATGTGGTGTCCTGAAGGGCGAGTCAGCTCCTTCTCCACACACAGCATTTTCCCGAGACTCAACAGTTAGGAGGGAACATGGATGCCTTTTATTCATAGCATATCTGAGTGATAGGAACATCATCACCAGTTTTTGAGCCGCACACAAATTCTCATACCCAAAAGACTAGTTAGTCAAAAGAATCTCATGATATTATTATTAGATGAGAAAAGAAACTAAGCAGTTTGTATGAAGAAGGTGTTGGCAGGGCAAGTGCCCAAATCCACCCTCCCATCTTGCTGCTGGGAGCAGCTCCTTCTCACTCCCTGCCCATGGCTCTACTGCCTGCAGCTTTCCCTGCCTGAAGCTGGGTCTCTGTCCCCACGCCTCCAGCCTGCAGCTCAGAGCCCCCATCCCACCCGCTGGGTGCTCAGCTCTGCCCTGCAGACACCTCCTGGCAGCAGGGCTCTGCCCAGGGGCAGCTCGGTGGGGTCACGTCCTAGAGCCCAGGTCACGCAGACCCTGCTGACACTGCGTGAGTGGTGGTGGAGCATTCTAGGGGTTGAGAGGCAGGAAAGGGACTTGCTGTGGTCCTTGTAATGCTGCTTGTGAAGTCTTAGATGTAAAAGCCCCTATCCTGAAACAGCAGACTTTATTTCTCTTCTCACTGAGGCAAAGAAGAGAAAAACGTAAGCAGAGAGTCTGGAAAGCTAAGAGTGAACAGGAATTCTCACCTTTATCCCTGCTCTTTCAAAGTCCCCGTGGATACATCCTGCTTGCACTGTGGAGCTGTGAGCAGGCTGCCCCAGGTAGCAGCCTCCCACCAGCAGCAGGACCCTGCCCTGCCAGGGGGGGCTCCTTCCACCCACAGCTTCTCCCCGCAGCGCCCTGGGCAGCTCCCCGGGCAGGCTGAGTGCTGAGCCTGGCAGGCGGCAGAGGCCCTGCCCCGGCACACAGCCCCTGGGCCACAGCAGGGACCCTGCTCTGCACCACAGCCCTGGACACCCCTGCCTGCACCCCCAGCTTCTCCTGCCTCCACGAACTGCGGCTGCATTGCCCTCCAGCCAGAGACTTACCGGGTGCAGGGCTGGGAAGTCTTCTTCCCCAGTGAGCTCTGGGCATGCTGCCACTTCTGCCTGCCTTTAAGCACTGTGTCTCTGCAGGCAGTGCCCCCAGGCCTGCTGCGCTGTGCAGAGGAGCTGCTCCTGGGCAGAGCTGTCTCTCTGCAGCGCTGCCCGCTTGCCAGGAGCTCCCCTTGGGCCCAGGAGCCCGGCCCAGCTCAGCAGCAGAGGCCCAGCCCAAGGCCTCCCTTGCTCTGCCCCCCACTAGGCTCCCAGCACATGGCCCTGGGGCTGCAGGGGAACCTGCTGGGAAACAGCCTGAAGGCATCCCTGGGCTTCCCTCCCTCCCCTGGGCACACACACTTCTTGACAGCAGGATCATTTCTCCAAAAAGTCAGGCAGCAGAGTCCGTTAAGACATCTCATGCTGGATTTTAATCCTGTGGCTAGGAGGGCACTCAGCTCACACCCATGCCTGCCCAAGGCACATAGGAACTGGGATTCGCCTGCCCTCACTTCAGGTGTGCACCACATGGGCAGCTGCAGGTGTGCTCCTTTTTTCATCTCCATGATCATTAATGGAGATGGAGGAAATCAGGGGGCTGCAAACACCTGGTGACATGTCAGGGGGCAGAGGTACGTGCAGGCATCTGCAAACTCTCATGGAGGTACTATGAGGGACAGGGCAGCACATGGGGATATCCCCTTGGAGGCTGGTGGGGGATGCCTTTGGCCAGCTGAAATGACAGCAAATGCACCCATTTAGGACAACTAAACCTGTCCCTCCTCAGTAGGCTCAGGGCAGCCTGTAGAGGCATCCACCTGACCCAATGGAGAACTGTGCCACAGGGAGAGCTGAGTCTCTCTCTCCCTCTTCTCCATCTGGTTTTCCCTCCATCTCCAGGGACTGTAACAGCATTTGGCTCATGGACATTCCTATATTACCTAATGAAATTCGGGGCAGCTGCTCCATTTAAAGCCAATTCCAGGCCTGCAGTTCTACCTGAGATGCCAATGCTGCCCAACACCACTACAGCATGCAGCTGACACGGGCAGCACAGGACCCACAGGACAGCTCTGGCCATTCACAACTGGTACTTAAAGGACACTCCTGAGGGCATCTCTGGTAGACGTGGTGCTTATGAGCAAGTGACTGCTTCTCAGAGAGCCAAGGTCTGTCCCACCTCTATTCGGTAGAGGCAGGCAACGCATGGATATGAGGCACATCACACAAGAGTTTCCACTTGTGTTGTTCAGCTCGCAAACATTTCTGCTGCTTATCACCTCCATCCTTCATTCACCTCTTTGATTGTACCATCCAGACACAACCCAATGATTTTTTGTCTGTGTCCCTGAATCACAGGTTGCCCATACCAAGGACATTTTCAGCAGCCCCTTCCCCTGCCTGGAGATCGGCCTCATCTCCAGCACTGGCCCTCAGGGCTGCACCAACACCACAAAGGCCCTCTGCTCTCAGGGCGGCACAGCCCAGGCCTGTTTCCTTCTGGCCTTGGGAACACCAGGGCTTGCCCTCCTTCGGGTCCCTCATTTCATCCTCCTATGGCCATCGGCCATCCACAGCAGCAGGTCTCTGCCCTGCTGGAAAGCCTTTGCATGTCTTGGGTCTTGGGCAGAAGGTCTGGGACTAGTTTGAGTTTGGCCCTTGTGCCACAGCTGAGGTGCTGCAGCCCAGATGTGCCCCAATACCCTCAGCCTGGGGCACAGACGGGAGGAGCTGAATCTTGACTGCAAGGAAGCTGTGTCAGCATTAAGGAGTGCACTGCAGCTGTCCCAACCTGTTCTCCCTACTCTCCCCTTCATCTGCAGTGCTGCACTACCCCTCTCCCTTACCATGAGGTGCTGAAGGTAAGTTTGCCATTCCCTCGTGTGCCACCTCTGCCTGTGGCATGGCAGCGGGGATGTCCTGGGAGAGGGTGCTGAGGCCTTCTCAGAGCACAGAGCCTTGTGGGACATGAGGGGAGGGAGGCTCGGGAATGTGCTGCAATTCCCTCCATATAACACATCCTAATGCATCCTAACACATATAATTCATCCCAGGTGCCTTCGCTCCCATTGTTTGAAAAAAGCCCAGCCCCAGGACAAGACTCAAACCCTACCTTCCTGGGAGAGCTCCCAAAAGCAGAGGTATCTTAGTACAAGAACACAGCAGGGACTACTCCAGTGCTCCACTTCCTTTATTCCGTGGGCTTTGCCACCATCTGCAGATGTTCCTGGTGGATTTGTCAAGAAATGCCGGAAAATATGTCTCCTTGCTATTGACCTCACAGGCCTTCTAATGACACAGGGTGATGTCACAGGGGGATGCACTGCATCACCAGGATATCGTCACTCAAGCAGCGGCAGTGCCGGCACTTCCCTGCAAGGCCTGGTCCCTGCTGGGCACTGCTTGGGTGCTCCCCAGCGCTGTCCTTCTGTGGCCAGGAGTGGGGTCAGCAGGCAGCAAGCTTGCACTGGGCGACCCTCGCTGGCTGGCGGAGGAGCAGGGGCACCTTGCAGAGGAGCTGTGGTTGAGGAGCCAGGGCGGGCATCCCTTGTCCTGAGCTGAAGGCCAACAGCAAGCGAGATGGAGGGCTGCTGGAGGGTGACCATCACCTCTGACATGACTTCCATGTTCCCAGTGCTCCTGCACCTCTCCCCCAAAGGTAAGGGTGTCAGGAGCCCCTTCCCAAGATGTGTCACAGGGGCTGTCAGCTGTCCAAAGCTTTGCGGGGGGCTGGAAATGGCTGGTAGCTGCTGCAAGAGCCTTGCCTGAGTGTCCCTCTGGGCTCAGGGGAGTATGTGGTAGCCAGGATTCCTGGGTCCTGATGCTAGGGGTGCCCTAAGCCCCAGGGCTCCTCTGGGCATGGCTCAGCCTCCTTGTGATGGGGACAGTCCAGGGCCAGGTTTTCCTGGGAGCTGGTGTCTCTTCGGGATCTGGCTCTGGGAGGAAAGACCTCTGGTGTCCCAGAGACTGGTGTGTCCTGCAGCTCCACAGGCCTCTCAGGAATGTGCCACAAATGCCTGTGTTGGAAATCAAGCCTTCCCCTTGTACTGATCTCCTTCAGGAGAACCAGCCCCTCCTTTGCCACCAGGCTGGCAGAGCGTGTTCTGGGTGCTGAGATGCCATCCCTGGATGGCCACAGCCCTGGTGCTGGACCCTTCCAATCTCCCTACTGAATCACAGAATCACAGAATCACAGAATTTCTAGGTTTGAAGAGACCTCAAGATCATCGAGTCCAACCTCTGACCTGACACTAACAGTCCCCACTAAACCATATCCCTAAGCTCTACATCTAAACGTCTTTTGAAGACTTCCAGGGATGGTGACTCCACCACCTCCCTGGGCAGCCTGTTCCAGTGTCTAACAACCCTTTCGGTAAAGAAGTTCTTCCTAAGGTCCAACCTAAAACTCCCCTGGCACAACTGAAGCCCGTGCCCCCTCGTCCTGTTACCAGGCACGTGGGAGAACAGACCAACCCCCACCTCGCTACAGCCTCCTTTAAGGTACCTGTAGAGAGCGATAAGGTCGCCCCTGAGCCTCCTCTTCTCCAGGCTGAACAAGCCCAGCTCCCTCAGCCGCTCCTCGTAGGACTTGTTCTCCAGGCCCCTCACCAGCTTCGTCGCCCTTCTTTGGACCCGCTCAAGCACTTCCATGTCCTTCTTGTAGCGAGGGGCCCAAAACTGAACACAGTACTCGAGGTGTGGCCTCACCAGAGCCGAGTACAGGGGGACAATCACTTCCCTAGCCCTGCTGGTCACACTGCTTCTTATGCAAGCCAGGATGCCGTTGGTCTTCTTGGCCACCTGAGCACACTGCTGGCTCATATTCAGCCGACTGTCCACCATCACTCCCAGGTCTTTCTCTGCCTGGCAGCTCTCCAACTACTCATCTCCCAGCCTGTAGCTCTGCTTGGGGTTGTTGCGCCCCAGGTGCAGGACCCGGCACTTGGCCTTGTTGAACTTCATGCAGTTGACCTCAGCCCATCGGTGCAGCCTATCCAGATCCTCCTGCAGAGCCTTCCTACCCTCGAGCAGATCGACACATGCGGATAGCTTGGTGTCATCTGCAAACTTACTGAGGGTGCACTCAATGCCCTCGTCCAGATCATTGATGAAGATATTAAAGAGGACTGTCCCCAGTACTGAGCCCTGGGGAACGCCACTAGTGACTGGCCTCCAACTGGACTACACTTCATTTACCACGACTCTTTGGGCCCAGCTATCCAGCCAGTTTCTGTGTACTGTGGTGGTTTTACACAGGTACACAGGTGGACTCCATGGCCACCGCTCCTTTACTTCCCCACCTACAAGGAAAAGGGGGGAAAATTATGATGAAAGTAGCTCAAGGCTTGAGGTAGAACAGGAGGTCACCCACCAAATATCCTCATGGGTACCAATTATCATCACAGGCAAGACAGACTTAGCATAGGCAGATTAATATATTTTATTGCCTATCACTGGTGCACTACAACCTTGAGGAACTACAAGCAAACTAAAAACACCATTCCCCCCATCCAGCCTCCTGTAACTCCTTCTCCTGGGTGGAACAGGAGAATTGGGAATTGCAGTGAGTCCCTGACATTGTTTCCACTGCTCCTTGATGGTCAATCTCTGCCCTCTCTGGGTCCCTCCTGTGAGATGCCCTCCTTCACAAATAAATCCTGCGTGGGGCCATAAAGGGCTCAGATAATGACAGACATGACCAGATCATATTAAAATAAAGTTCTTAGAAGCAATATATCAGCTTCATAGTTGCTGACCACAATGTTCATTTTTTGTTGGTGTAGTAGTCCTGTTTGGTCACAGAACTGTGTTGGGTAACACAATACATCTTGTGTGTGTTCCCAGTTGTGCTGTTTATCCTTTGTGGGGGCTTATTAGTTAATTAATGGTTATTAGTTTACTCTATGGCCTAACACTGCCTTATGTTGTGATAAAATTACTGGTCATGAGACAAATCTGGTAGTTGTACTCAGCATTGCTGTCACCTCAATGCTCGAGAAACTTTCTCTCAGAAACTATTTATAATTAACAGTCTTTACGTTTCTCCTCGGGGAGCCAATCTATGGAAGGGAT